AGTTCACAGTCATCACACTTAGCTTCATGTCAAAGGATCCTGACTCCCCTGATCACCTGAACAGTTTTCTGTTCCCTGTGCTTTCCTACTTATGCAATTAGTTAAAAACTTATCTCCTTTCTCTTTTTATGCTTTAAGAGGCAAATTCTCTGATGGAAGTGTCTTGTAGACTCAAGTGCCCATTTACACAAAATAATTTCTCCTAAAGTTTTCTTTCAAAAGCAGGTTAATGCCTTCCTCAGCTCTCACTGAAATCAGCTGTATTTCTTCTACCAAGTTGCAAGCTGGAGCTGTCTTAACTCAAATGGTGTGTAGATACGTAAAGTTTGTCCATAGTTTTCACAGATCCTCTCAGTATTAATCCAACCAACCAAAGATTGTTATCACAGATAATTGAAGACCCATAAAAAATGAGACAAATCTCCTTGCAACATCTAAGAGTTTACAAGTAAAGTATTTCTTCTTATTCTTTTATTTTTTGCTATTCAATACTATGCTTCCGATGAGAATTAGTTGTTGACCTCTGTGATAAATCTCTCCATATAATCTCTCTTAAAACTACTATGTAGCAGACTCATTACCTCTGTTCACACTATGCATGGCGATTCTTATAGCTGAGTAGAACTAGTTTATGGTGAACACTCGATTATCCCAACATCTCCAAATGCTACTGAAAGGCAGCATGGCAGTTGGAGGTGCCAAGGCAGAGACTTATCCTTAGATCAACTCCAATACAAGAACACCTCGGTCACATCACATAGTCCTGAGCATGGTAAGACCAGGCTGACAATCTGGGCCTGACAGCTCTGTGACATCCCTTCTGTTCACTTGCTAATAGAGTATAGAAAAGCTTTTTGTGGTAGCTGGCACAAGCCATAACAGTAATTTGAGATAAGCTTGTGCTCCACTTACTTTGTTAGTGTTTGGTTTAATGGAGTACTTCAATAAATTTTCAAGGTAGACCCAACTCACCAGGGAATGCTCAGGTTAGACAGGAATGAATCCTTTAAGGATTCAAACACCTACTTGGTAGTTTTCCGGAAGAGTAACTGTGACTCACCACTCTGCAAACTGGTGGGTCAGTCCAAGGTACTGCATGAGGGGAATACTAGACATATATTTAGAATTATGGCTTCAAAGTTGTTATTACGCAGTGAATAAGCAGTACTATGGGTGACAGATGGGAGGGTTGCATTAAACAGGGCAGATGAAGCCATGAGCTGAGGGAGGTAAGGGAACAAATACATGGTTGTACCGCAGGCACTGTACAGGACTAACACTGGGGAAAGGGAGCAGGCAGGAACTGCAGCTCACTAGCCCCTCCAGAAGAATCTGCTCCCAACCTCCAAAAGCCTGCTTTTCATAAATCAGCCAACAGGTCCTTAATGTACAACTTCGCCATCAACACCACGACATGGGGGGTGATGCATCTAATCAAGGAGGGCTCCAAAGTGCTGCGCCAGCAGAGGTATCTTAGTAAATTACAAAACTCTCCTCTGTACCATTACAGAAGAACAGCTGGAGACAAGATTCTGAATATGAATGGATCACAAAGGAAGTGAACACCATATAGGAATCCATACAGCAAAGCATATTTAATGTGTGGATAGCTGTGGTGTCTGATAACATGAGAGCCCGTTAAAGGACCAAAGGGTGCCAAAAATATACTTCAAGTGAAAAAACCAAAACATAACCACAACAAAACCCACAAGAAGTCACACATGTAATGGAGAAGGGGTAAAAAAATAAATTCCTGTGCATAAGGCCATAAACCATACAAAGGGGCCTTCAAGACCAAAAGCACTACTGCTGGACATTCGCATCTGTGGTATGTCAGCAGGGCCAAATAAAATACACCACGGCTAGGTCCGAGTAAGGTGATATGGCATCACTGTGGGAAATGCAAAATCAAATTCTAGCAGCAGTATGGCCACACCATCCTACACATCTAAGGCTCTGTTTACTAGATGCCCTGATGTAGTTATATTACTTCCAGTTCCAGAAGCACTTTTCTAAACACTGTCTCTGGCATATCTTTAGTGCAGTGTAGGCAAATACTTTTAAATAGCTTTTCTATGTCTTTCTATTTCTCTTCCTCTCTTTCTGCAAGTCTGTTTCTCTCTTTGTAAAAAGGAGAGCGACATCAGTTAAGTCATCCAGCAAATAGAAGTGGTTATGATTGCTGCTAAAAGGAACACTACAGCCATGAAGCTACCACAACAGTTAGTGATCTGAAGTCCAATGGAGCAGGAAGCAGCAAACTATGCAATAAGTTTTAGAGAAGCACGCTGAACTAAGCACACTGCACACACATTAGGCTAGAATAAGCTGTGGCCATACCAAATTCAAGGCCCCCAAGATGACTTTTACATGTGCCTGCAAGAGCCTGCTTCGTTCAACACCTTTTCAGCCTGATTGAATCAGATGGTCTCAGTGGTTCTCACACAGGAGGCATTCAAGTTCAGCAGCTATGAGCACTCTCTTCAGCGGTATACCCTTGCCCTTTAAGCTTGGTTGAGGTATCACACTCAAAAGCTATAGAGCTTCACTAAGCTACCCGGGAATACAGGTCTGACTGAGCCAGACAACATCTCTACAGCAGCACCACCACTAAGGGCAGGATCACATTTTGGTTTTCATACAGGGCTGGTCATAAGAGCTGGTAACCCAGAGCAGAAATCAGGAGCAGTCTTTAGCAATGCTGGCTCTGGCACAGACTTCTTATCTATGCACCTCTGCTTTGGCAACTCCTGTGGCAGCCCGTGGTACCTCTGTATCTCAGCTTTCTCACCCACATAACAGGGGGACCACACATAATTTCTGTGTCTCTCTGGAATGCTGCATTACCTATGGTTTGCTTACTGCCACAAACAGACCAAATAGTACATTTCCTCAGGTAAGCACATCAACAGAAAAGTTCTAGTCCCAACTTGAAGGATATATGAAAAGTTAACATCTTTGAGCCTCCTTTATACCCACCAGCAAAATCCACCCACCCCTGTGATTTGCTTTGAAATAAGGGAAAAAGCACTAATTGTTCAGAATTATTTGCTGGCTGAACACCTAAGAGTATTCATTCTCTGCAGACATGAACTTGCTCTGTCCCAGGGCTTGGGAAAGTACCAGTTCCACGGCTGCATATCACTATCTTTCGAAAGCCTCACCGAAGCATGCACAACATGAACTTGCCTGACTGAACTTAGACTTTAAACCAGAACAAATATATTACTGTGAAATGCACAAGACCCGCCTGAGCAAGTTACTTCCAGATGATTTTCCCGTGAACATCTAACAAAACTGGAGTTTACATTAAATATAGACTGAGGATTTTCTTTCTTTTGGGGTAATCAACATCTGAGTTCCTCTGCCCCAGGAGGTACTGGCACAATCCACTCTGATTAGACTCAGAAGGGGGAGCAAACAGACAATTACTCTGATAACAATCTTATCTGAGGACAGAAATGAGATTAGTGGCCTAACTGCAGTGATTCTTCCCCAGATACACTGTTAAAAGGACTGACTAACTCAGCATGAGACAGAGAAGGAATTTCCTTGTGGAGCCCGTTGGCAAGTAAAGTGAGGTGCAATTCTTCCCCTACTGGTCCTTTTCCAGTAGAGAATTATCTGTTAGGACCAAGTGGCCATGAGCAGCACATGGTCCACGTTAGATTTCTTCCTGATAATGGAGCAGCTGGGCAATTTCTTCCTTTTAGTTTTCTTCTGCTACAGAGAATCTTACAAGTAAAAAGCAGTGAGAAAGACAGGACCCCACCCTGTCAATAGGGAACATCTCCATCCTGCTGGTCCTCCTATTTCATTTTTGCAAGTCTACTTTCAAAATTCTCAGATGGCAGAGCACACATTAGCTTTCCATGAACTTAATGACTAATGTTATTGTGAAGGCCTCCTTAAACAGTTTAGATTTTACTCCTCTAAGTTGACCCCATTCATTTTAGTTATTCCCTTTACAATAGCCAAACTACGTCCTCTCCTGGTGGTTCACAGCCTTCAGATGTCTGCAATGATATTAACAGAACTTCTCCACGATAAGGATCCCAAATAAGTCTGCACATTAATCTCACAAAGACAGGATAATTAATATAATAACAGGACAGAAGCCAAACCACTCAGAAGGTTGCTTACACCATGCCTACACCAACAGGTTTACACAAGGGTCTTATAATTATTCCCTGCAATGGACACCTTAGACCAGTCTTGAGATCCCAATTTTGTTTCTGATAAATTCAGATGCTGTAAACTCTGCTCTGCTGCTGGAGAAATGTGTGGGTGTAGGGAGAGGGGGGGTATCTTCAGCAACTGAGCTATAAGTTTTGTATCTCCAATACTGCTTCATGAACTCTTTTTGTTACCCAGTTGCAGGAAGAGGACAAAGACCTACAAAACACAGATTCACCAGAAATGCTATGCCCAAAAGGAATAACAATTTCAGCTGGGTAAATCTGGGTCTGGGTAAATCAAGCTGATGGCAATTTGAAAACTGATAAAAGTGCTAGCAAAAAGGCAGAGGGGTAAATTTTCTTCCTGCAGTATGTGACAGCATCGTGCTTCAGTATTTGCAGTTTTCTTTACACATCTATTTAGACTGAGATGAATAACCTTATAAAAATACATAAGTGAGCTGCAGAAAAAATGGGGCAACTGCTATATTTCTGCTTTGGTGATCTGAATCCACAGCATTTATTTAGTTATAATCCTTCATATAGGAAGTTTATTTATATAGACAGGGATTTCTGAAATTCTGCAGGATTAGTCAATCTACAGCATTCTCAGTGCACGAATTTTAGCATCAGAGTTACACTGCCTGGATATTCAATGCCTAGAGTAAATATTTGGGCTGATGAAGGTTAAACAGATTAGTCAAGATGAAGCCAGGGTTCTCTGCTTATTTACACAGAAGCTTATTAAATATTGCTGCTATTCATTTAAGAAGCCTAGTTTAAAAGAAAAACCCACAAAAGCAACAAACAAAATATACTTACCCAACCTGAAGCGAGACAGTACCAAGATTTCTATCATCTTCAGCCTGGGTATGCATGTGACAAAGCCACACACTGAATCACAAATCTCACACTCCTTGGCCTCCTTATGGGAAACATGCAGAGGAAACAACAGCTTCAGCACAAGCTTGCTGCTCGAGTTTCAGCTGCACCAGGGAAATGGGATAAACAACACCCCTCCCGGTTCTATTCAAAAACAAGAGGGAAATAATTGGTGTGAAAACCATTTGCAGTTCAGTTACACTTTTGAGATGTGAAGAGGCAGTTATGCACAAGGCTGTCTGAGACCTGATCAAGTCCATAAATCCTACAGTGGAGAGGATTTCCAAACATACTCAGCAAAGCCACACATCAGCTTTCATCAAAATCAGCAATAAATTCCCCTCCATTACAGGCAGAATGGTGTTAAACTAGGTCCTACTCCTAAGCCCACCTGCTGTATCCCCCGAGCTTGCAGTGACATTTTTCTGTGGCGTGTCAAATGCCTGATTCAAAGCCCCTCCACTGCAAATAGGTTTTGGATCAGTTGGAGAAGGATCAGTAGTTAAGCATTAGAGCCAGAAAGCAAAACTTTGATTTCACTCTTTGATAGTGACAAGCCAGGCATGCCAACAGGTATACAGCTACCACAAACTAAAAGGTTGAGGAGTAGCAGGCAGGCATTAACTCACATTTCTGTCCATTTGTTAAGTTTCAATTTCTGAAAAAAAAAATTTATTTAAAGGAACAGACATTAAACAGTTTTCTATTAAGGCATCAGGAAAAAAACCACTTGTCTGCACAAAACTACTCCCACTTGCTGGCCTTCCAGCCTTCATTACTGTGCACCATCCAGCCCCACTGAGGTTGTGTTTTGTTTACCATGCTCAAGAAAATTTGCATGCACATTTTAGACACTTTGGAAGAAGAAAAACTGCCTCCCGTCCAATCCACGTTTACTCTGAACAGATGTAACATTCCTAAGAAGCTCTCAGCTGACTGCCTTTGAAGTCTGAAGAAAAGGGGGGTGGGGGGAAGGAGAAAAAAAAAGCTCGACCTTGAAAGCTACATTTCTTCCCTTAAAAGAAGTAGTCTCCAGGGAACTCTTGTGCGAAATAAAAAGCAAATTCTCCAGATCCTTATCTCATGCTATTTTTGAGAGGCTTTTCTTTTGTTCCTTTGCTTTTGTCATATTTTGGATTAAAGGACTTTCACAGACACGGCACACGTGCAAGTGGACCATTCACCATACTGAATTTGTGCCCACCATTCCAGGCCAGGGCAACTGCTCTCATTTCAGCTTTTCCTTTTCAGGAAAAACACAGCCCAGCCTCAGAACCAAGCATGACAAGGAAGATTTTACGACAGGCAGCTTGCAAAGAGGAGTTCTGCAAAGGTAAAGCATTGACCCAAAGTGAATTCCCACCCACAAGCACTCCCACAGCACATCCCAGTCCCGCCTTGTGATGGATCGGGGTCTGGACAGCACGCACACAGAACACAGTCTTACACACAGATAGCCCAGGGAGCCACACTGTAACCTCTCACACAGCCACGGCTGAAAATATCATTATTTCATCAGACACAGCTTGCACTTACCCCAAAATTGTCAGTGGGGACTAAGTTAATTTTAACATGGCAAAAAGGGGCTGCTTTTCCTGTTTTGCTTCTCTCTTCTGCTATGTCCTCGGCGTTCCTCTCCTCCTCTCTCAAGCTCAGCTCCTCCTCTGTTTGCCTGCCCTATTAACCTTCTCCATATCCCACCCACCCAAATTTGCACATTATTAGGCATCCAGGGCCTTTTGTTCAGGTCCTTAAACAAAAGCATGGCTACCGCATTTCCTGGCAAGAGGTGCATTATACCCAGCCATCACTTAGGGCAGCTCTAATAGACTCATTTCTCCCAAAGACAAAATCAGGCCACACCAGACAGGCGAATTCAAGGACATGTCCTTTCCCGAATTCCACAGAGCAAGATAAGCCTGTGAGTCTTATGCTTACTTTATCTTAACTAAGAGGCTTGCCCATTTTCCCACTCAGTAAAAAACTAATTATTTACCACTGAGGCAAGGAACAGGTTAAAGTTTCCTCTCTCTTGTCTCAGTTCCCTTTGCAGATTAGGGAAAAACAATGAAGTCTCCGCACTTTGTGATATTGCTAATGCTTCCTGTGGGGATAGCAGAGCTGGCTGAAAAGAGGATTATGATTACAGTTTAAAAGGAGTGTGCACTGTACTGCCGCAAGAGGCACAGGCTTATCAGAAAAGAAACTGAGCTGCCCCCAAACTATGCACGTGGGACTCCTGCCTGCCTTCAGTTCTGGCTGATGGCTCTGCCTCAGATCACACACCAGCTTATCAGGAGTGATAAAGCAGCAGCTGAGCTTGGAGGGGCTGGTGGGGATAAATGAGTAACACAGTGCAAGCAGCTTGCCTACGTTCACCATCAGAACACACAGTAATGTTTACAGATCATCCCACTGCATTCACCTTGCAACAAAACACCGGGCTGGCCAGGGCACAGCAGATTGCAGGGGCTGTACATTCCTGGCCACACTTGGGGAATTTGAAAGAAAAAATGTTGGTGGAGCTGTAGTAGCTGTGGTGATGTTGGCTGGCCTTCTCCAGGCAAGGCTGCAAATCCTTTAAAAAGCACAGCATCATCAGTGAGATCTGCTCCAAGCAGGGCCTTTGAGGTGTAGCTTCAAGTGCCAGTGAAGGGCTTCTGTCAGTCTCACTGCTGAGCACAGAGTGGACTCAGCTGAAGGAATAAAAAATTCCCACTGTGCATTCATAAGACACATTTCTATCACTCTGGGCCCTCTAAGGTACCATGAGCAAGACAGTTTACTCACATCCATACACCTCTACAACCACAAATTGTTTTTTTATAAAACCAAGGCTTTAGCCAAAACAGCGACCAAAATTCTTTGACTCCAAGGAGTGCTTAACCTATGTGGCAGGATGTACCTACTGGTTAGTGCCCTGATCAGTGTGGCACTTTCTTCCCCTTGTACAGTTCAGCCAGCATGAAAGCCTGAGTCCTCTTCGTAGGCACATCCTGACATGTGAGAGGGTTTTGTTGTTGCCATTGGTTTGATTGGGTTTTTTTGTTTGTTTGTTTGTTTGTTTTGGTTGTTGTCTGTTTCTTTTTTAAAGCTCTATGCCTGTGTTAGCTCTTCTTCAAGTAGTTTGTACAACTGATGCAAGCTGAAGTTATCAGTTATTCCCTCTCACCCCTAATTCTGTTCAGAGGGGTTTAATAGCTCCCTATCTGCTTGCTAGAAGGCTAGAACAGAGAGCAATAGGATTAACGCATGTTCTCCTGGATTTTTACAGGCTTAGAAATCTCTGAGCTTCACCCCCACAGGCCTTACCCAGTATGGCACTGGCTCATTGCACACTGCTGTTCTAAGCAGTCTTTGCCACCTCCCACCATACACCAGAAAAACAAGACTGAACTTTCCAACTGGTCATAACACTGAACAAAACAACAGGTTTAAGTTTCTCACAAAGCACTTCCATGAATTGTTGCGTGCTTTAAACCAAGCTACTTGATTCCTGCAGAGGGATAAGGTCTCAGAGTCAGTGAAAGTCAGATGCTTTCAAGTAACCCAAACAAACCTTTGTGTGCTGGTACAGTTCATGCATCTCTGCTAACTAACATCTCTGCATCTCTATCCACTGTTCCTTAACACTAATCTGAGAAGGAGGGAAAGGAGCTGAAAGTCCAAAAATCTGCCTGAGTTATGGCTTTTAAAAACAAACAGAAGCTTTCCCATCAACCTGCCTTCGATCAACTTGTGCTTTAAGGGACTTGTAAGCCCCAGCAGAGACCTGAATTCCAGTTGACCAGTTTGCAATGCTCCCTTTTACTCTAAGAATAATGGGGGCAGAGACACTGCAACATTAAATTCAACTCACTGTTTTTCAAATCTTAAGTCATCATGTGGGTCCTGAGCCTTGGGAATGCAAAGCTTCAGTGTGTCTCTCAATTTCACATGGTGAGAGCCAGGTGACTTAAGGTATGCAAGGAAACCTCATACCTCAGAAAAAATGTCCTGCTTGATGGTGTTTTAAAAATTATCTAAGAAGATTAATAGGATTATTTGAGCACAGGTTCTACATGAGGCAACAGTGAGAGGAATGACAACCTTAGCAAGGAGGACCAACACGGAAGGAGAAGACAAACAGTCCAAAGAAATCTAGTGAGGTGAGGGCTGAATAAGTAGGCTTGAGGAAAAACAAATTGATAAGAGTGGATTCACATCTAGTTAAAGGCACTTCATCATCATCATCTCCACAGAAGAGTCGTTCTTTTGGCAACATGGATATTGAATTGTATCAGAAGCATTCCACAAGCTTTCCACTCAAATCTAGTCAATATGTCTCTGCTCCTTCCAGCATCAGTGGCTCAGGTAGAGACTTGGAGTGACAGTGGCATACATCGTCATACTATAGAGGCCTTTGATACCCTCCATAAACAGGACCCATCCACAGGATGGGCTGTTGATTTAAAACACTGGAAAAGCAGACACACTTTTCCAGGCTTTCACTAGCAGCGATGCAGATAGAAAACCATTTTGCAAATGACAGCTCTTAATGTTTGGGCAGAACCAATCAAAACTGCTATGCAAGAGAAAGGTAAGAAGCAAAGAATCAAAAGTAGTTATACAGGGAAACTTTATACCACTGCCCTGTTTGATAATATAGGGCTGAGCCTGCATAAAGTCTACTTTAATGGATTTAACTGAAGATAAAAGTTATTTAGATAACTCAATGTCTATCTTCCAGTAGGGACTAGGTACACAGAAAATGCATTGCAGCCACAATAAACAGAAGCAGCATCAACAATTCATGTTGAAACATGTTTTCCAATATGGGCCTTAATGTCAAAGGCAGTGATTCATATTATGACCTGTACAGACTCACCAATGCATTCTCACTAGTCATCTCTACCACAGTAACAAAAAAAACCAGGCTAGACTGAACTCCAGGAGCACCACACTTCTGTGGCCTCTTGAGCCTCCTTACCTGAAGGACACTGAGCACTCTCAACACTTTAAACTGAGGAGTACTTGCTGCCTTACTTGTATTTGTCTCACTCTGCCTATACAAACACTTTGGTGTATTAACTTTCAGAATGCAACTTATACATTTCTAAAATCAATCAGAATTCCTAAGCTTTTACAAAAGGAAATGAAAAATATTACTGTCAAACAGCCATCAGACCTAGAAGCCTAGGTGACTTCATGTATTAAAGAAATTAAAAGGCTGCATTTGAGATAGGGATGGGAAGAGCATACACTATCTTGAAAGGCTCCGATTAAAGTGCTCTAAGTATCAAAATTCAATTTCTTTCAGGTTTTGCAAACAACAGCCTTGAGCTGAATGCTGCCAGCCTGCCTGCAGCCTTTGAGGAGATTAGGTTATTACCAGCCAACTACGAGAATCTTAAATCCAGTATTAATCCTAATTCTCATTTAGCCACATCTTCATTGTGAAATGAAAGCTGGCTGTGCATGAACTTGCACATGCATTCTTCCACGTGCAATGATAGGTGTCACAAACAACAGATGCTAAACCTCACGTATGTTTAAGA